AAATATAATAATGATGATGATGATAATAATAGTATAATGATAATAATGATGGTGATGATAATAACAATAAAAATAAATACATGTTTTAAGGCGCCACCAGCTACATATCAAGGTCATATGAGCGCAAGGGACACAATAATCACAATAAACGTTTTTAGTTGGTAGGAAATTTTAAATTTTGAACAAGTGTCTCTTATCCATTTTAGACGACAAAGGGATCTTTAACGTGCGCAACTTGCACACGGGTCCTCCGAGATTTTTCGCTGTTGTCCGAGAAGGCTAGGTGCAGTAGAAAGGCTGCAGAAAGAGTCAGGAGCCCAGTTGTGGGGGCAAAGGAGGTGAGGGCGTGGTGGCAGAAAGTAGAGACGGAAGCAGACAACAGAACATTGCTTTCGAGCAGGATAGGAGTCGAACGGAGACAATTTTAGAGACGGACATTTTTTCGTCGCTATTCGGATTCGATCCCGGGGACCTTTGAATGAGAGGTGAACACATAAACCCTAGGCTACGAGAGCCCACAAACTATGTGATGGATGAAGTGATCGCTTTCATAAGTGATTGTCTTGGACAAGTGGCCGTAACAGCAGATTTTACAGAATAATTATGTAACATAGATGTCCAAAGGTAAGCCATGGCAGATAGTGTTAAAGCAGCCTGCCACCTAAATGTTTGGTTATACACGTAATATTGTTTCGATGGAACCGTAAAACATCTACCATTACTTCGACCTTATTTTAAAAGGTCATTTTTAATAACGTATTTGGTGAAACTACCAAAGTGAGGTAATCTATATCTTTCAGTTTGTTTCACCATTAACATGCCATTGTCTCCCGTGTCACCCTCCACATAGAAAGTAATAACACAAAAATTATTCACTGTATTGATCCCCAAAGGGAAATTTGGGTTACAGTGGCAAACACACATACATAAATATAATAACAATAATACATAATTTAATATTATAGTGTTGTCAAAAATTCCTAGTCCAATACTTATTACCAAAGTATATTTCCTCACCATCATGTCTCCAGCTTATTTTGAACAATGACTTGTATCAATTAGAATTTGTCTGAACATATCAATATTTTTGTAAACTCATGCTAGCTGTTTACAACAAATTTCTTCACCAATTTAATATTTGAAAATCCAAGTTGATTGTTTCAACAAAAGTGTAAATGATTACAGCCGGGACGATATTGATTTTTAAAGCTTCCGTAATTTGTTTTCAAATCGCAACATTACTTTTATTCAACACATGCTTTGAGAATCACCAGTGCACTATAAAATCAATTTCATGCAACACGTGTTGCCACTAAGAAGTTTCATTGGTGAGCAATGTAATAAACCATATTATTATAAAGTATGCAAAATGTGTGAGTAAGAAACTGAAAGTGTTGTGAAATATCTAATTTCAGGGGAGATCATTAATTTATTGTATTTTATTTAAATTTACCAAAAGTTTGTTTTCTTCAAATTAGCCTACATTGTTGTGGAAAGTAAATTTAAGTTAAAGCCTGTTGATATAAACTGCTGTGCAAGGTACGGGCGACATTGGTTCATCTGTTAAAGAGTTATTTGAGGATAAGTTGTGACATGAATTTTGACCGCACTGTAATTATAAGTACATACTTTAAATACACAATATTTCAATAATACAGGAACATTTTCACAAACATGATATTGCTGGCTATTGTTGTGCAGCATCCTGTTGGTTTTTTTTTGGCTAGAGTCATCGTCTCTTGCTCAGGGACACGTCCCTAAGACTACCAACCTATTCACCGTGTCACGGATACTTAATTACCTCAGAACTACAACGTTCTATCTGACATTTTGACTGTTGTGAGTTACTTAAACCTTCAAATCAGAAACATGCTATTCTATCTGTTCTATCAAAATCATAAAATTATTTAAAGTTTTCATCTAGATATTCTCAAGGTATTCAAAGAATAGTATTCGAAGAGATTGACAGAATGTGAAACTCAAAATCTTTGAACAAATTACTTCTAAAATCTTTCTACTGAGCAGAAAGAACCTAGTAATTTTGAGGGAGAGATTTGCTTGTCATTATTTTTCAGTCTGGGATCACTACTTACTTAGCCAATGGAGGCTCTACTTTAAAACAGCATTGTGGTGGAATGATGAAACCAAAGACGCATTTAAAATGAAATAGAAACTGTTCAAGAAATGGTAGTTAGAATTAAAAGAAAACAACAAAACAAAACAAAACAAAAAACGAGAAAAGTGACGAAAATAATGTTCAAAGCTGCTAAAGAAAGTGCATGGGAAGTATATGGCGAGAGAATGACCACCGTGTGCACGGACAACCCTAGAGAGTTCTGTAAAAGTGTGAACAGCCTGAGAGTAAGGAAAGAACCAAACAACCTGACGTGTATCTTAAACTACAAATAGGATAGTATAATTTTCAGAAAAGATGCCATTAAGAAAAGATTGGAAATTACTTCAAAGAACTTTTTAATCCAGACATTTGCCACGGACAATAAGAAGAATTCCAACCAACAGTATATGCAGAGCAATTAGAGCCTCTCATTCTCTCCCGAGAAATTGAAAATGCATTCACAAAGAGCCCCAAGAGTAAAGCCGAGGACTAGATGGCATTCATTACTGCGGAAGCCATGAAAGGTTGTGGAAATACCTGTGCTCTGTGGCTGTAGCAAATTTTTAATGATGCCCGGGAAAAAATGAAATGCCCTGAAGAGTTGTCACAAGCCCGAACAAGAAAGGCAACAAACGAGCAACAAACTGCATAATGTACAGAGACATCTCTTTTTTAAGCCACACAGAGAAAGTATACGTGAAAATAATAGAGGAGAGGATAAGACCTATCGTAGAGAGAAACTTTGGTGAAGCTCAGTCCAGATTCCGAAAGGGAAGAGGATGCAAGGATGCTGTGAATTCGCATTACGACAGCTATGCAAGAAAACCATTGAACACAATAATGAATCCAAAAGCGTCTCTTTAGATCAGGAAAAAGCTTTCGACACAGTAAAAAGAAAACTTTCAAACTGGGGAAGATACTTCAAATGTTTAGCGTCAGAGGACAACTGTCAAACAATTTCAGAGCTCTGTACACCAACAGCAGAAGCTTAATTAAAAAGAGCAAAGGAAGGCAATCCGAACTGGCTAATGTAATATCTGAAATACGTCAAGGGTACATTTTATCTCCCCTTCTTTTTATATTACATGTGGATACAATAACTCAAGACGTAAACCAAACCCCAGAGTGCCTAAATGAACTTCTCTTTGCAGGCCACCAATGACTTATTCAACCAAACCAACTAGGCCTCCAATATCACACTATTGATTTGAACGACAAGAGCAAACATTTTAACATGAGAATTAAAGAATAATTTAAAAACATATTATGAAAGGTAGCCACTACCATGGTCCCCATTAAAATTTATGGCAATTTTAAACGAGTAAAACAGGTTACGAAGTTAAAATATTATATAGGCAGCGTTTTTTGCTTAAAACGGGTGAATGGACAGAAAATTGGAAAGATCATTATTCAAAGGTAATGTTTTACCTCCCTTACCAGTATGGGTATACCCTTGTAGATAACAACAACAACACACACACACACACACACACACA